CAGAGGCATAGGAAAAAAAAATCTGATTCTGGGGAAATGAACCTTTTGATCTGACAAGCAAAGTCATGGCAAAATTATTTTTTGTCAGCTGAAGTTAATTCATTCCTGGTGTTCCTAGCCGAGAAGGTCATTAAAGACTGAAGCTCTTTGGATGGAGGGATGGTAAGTCTCGGAGCTGTTGCAGAGGACCACAAGCCATCTCCCTTCCCACGGATGAGTGACAGCCAAGAAGGCTCAGCTTTGTCCTTGCCACATTAACAAGACATGAAGCCTGTATTAAGATAATGTGTCCCCCTGAGCTTCCGTGGTAGAAAGAGCAGCTTGGATTCAAATGCCCACATCCAGCTGATTACCGGTGTCCGATCTCCAGTAGGAATTTCTGACAGATTGGACTGGAGGCACCTAGAACATTGTTTATTCTTTTTCCTCCGCGGCTTGTTTCAGAGATCCACAAGCTGCTCTGGTATTCTCAACATCTGAATATTTTGATCAGCTCCCTGACAGTACAGGAGTTGCAAATACCAATGGGAGCTACCTTCCTCTTTCCTATTTTTTTTCTTATTTAATTTCTTATTTCTGGGAGGCTATGAGAATGGAAATACATTTGCTTATGCAGTCATAAAGTTCAATGTGTTTGCATGCAATCCAATGAGTCATAAGAAATAAATGCTCACACTGAACAATACAATAGTGTATTGTGGATTTAAACTGCATTAAAAATGATGTTACCTTAAACATATTATTTCCCTGTCCCTGGAGGAAAAGGGACATCTCCCAGCATCGCAGTTTTGGAGCCAGCACAATCTGTGGCCCTGTGCTGAGTATTCCCATTGTGTGCATCAGGGCAAGCACCTTAGGATTTGGTACCCTCTACCATCACACAGCAGTGGCTTGTTTCTCCACATTCCACTGCCAAATGTGATCAACATTTGACATTTTAGAAAAAGTTTCAAAAAACCCCAAACACAACAGCTAGTGATGTTAGCAGCCGCCAAAAACCCCTGTGCTTGCCAAACACCAAAGTGTCTCCCTCTGACTTCTCCATAAGAGACAACCAGGGTGTTGAAATCACAGTGCTCCTCACAACCCTTCCCTCTCCCCTAGCCCTCTCAAATCACTTTCTGCATTTTAGGCAATCCTGGTGTTAAGGCAGGGCCCTTTTTCACTCACTGGCCACCCTGCATAAAGGTAAAACCCTGGTGTAGCAAAACAAAGAGAATTAGGGTCTGAAAGGGAGATTTGATCGTCATTCAGCCAAAACAGCCCCCATTTAGTTTCTCAGTAAGCGTTCATCCTTTTTGATCCCAGACGGTGGAAAGGAAATGTTCAGTTTTAATTATTATTTGCCTTCAAGAGTTAGATTTCAAAAATGTATTAACCCAAAGCCAGGGACAAATCAGACATTTAAGCCTGAGAGTCAAAGGAAAACTGCGAGTTTGCAAATGAAAACAGAACAAGCAACACCAAAGTCTTCAAAACAGCTCTGAACCTACACTGAGGCTCTGCTCATCCCTAAATCCTGGTATACGCTGGAGTTATATTCATCCCTTGTGTCCTGTCTGTGACAGCCTCATAAAACTAAACAGGAATTTATGCCAGATTAAAAACAAAATCCCTTCTCTGCCTTACTGAATATTAAATTTTGCAGAAGACAATACCTATTGCTAAAGAAACACAGAAGTTATATGAGAGGCTGTAATTCAGCAGGATTATATTTAGAGAAAGAGTTTAGATGTCTTAGGATTTCTCTTCTGAATGCAGTGAAATGCAATTTTCATGTCCCAAAAGAGAATAAAATAATAAAAAAAAGTCCCTCTTTCCTAGTAATTACTTCTGCTCAAGCATTATCCATTACCAAGGTGAAAGAAACTCTGAAAGAAGTAGAATAGAAACCTTCTGAGTACAGTCTTGGTGAACTAAAGCCAACACTGACAATTTTGTAGCATTTTCCAAACTGTTCCAGTTAAGCACCAAATCCTGTGCTTTCAAGTGTGTGATAATTACGGATGCCCAAATGGAAACATCCGGTTTTGCTGGTTTTAAGTCTTACTTTGTCCTTACAAAACAAATGGAATAAGTAAAATAACTGAAAATTTGAATACTGTTGGGTGGGTAACGCAAAATGGAAATGACAAAGATTAGTGAGATGGTGAAGATCAATGAATTCCATAAAATTTGTGATCTAAAGACCTGATTTTATAAAGTGCTTCAAATCACACGGACAGAAAAGCCTGTGTATTTTTACATATATCTCTGGTAACATGGAACTTCAGGGTCCTGCTCCAAGTTTCTCCTATTTTAAACCCCAAATCACATGACCGTGATGCACAAAGACAAAAGTTCCTGCAGATGAAGTGCTGGTATCAATGAAGTCCCAATTGCTTCAGAAACCTTGAGAAAAGCAGATCAAAGTTCAACATAAAAACTCAAACCTTTATGTTATTCTGATTGCTGCATATTGTTATTTGTGGAACGTATAAAGTGCCATAAGCTATTTCCCTGTTTAGACAAGATAGTTCTTTAACATCTAAAAAAAAGTAAATTATAGTAAATTATGATCTGAGCTGAGTTATAGTAACCAGAGTTTCATGGGGTTTTATGTTAAAAGCTTCTCTTTCCCCTTGGCTTTACCCTGCTCCCTGTTGTTACAAGAGGAATATCAGATTTTCTGAAAACATGTTTAAATGGGATTTGCATAATTCATCTCCTAAAGTTTGGCTGTGCTATGCTGATGATTATTTCATACTTTGACCCCATCATCCAGAGCAATTATTCATATTTAGGTAAACATTTCAAGCCAAGCAGCTGTTTGAGTTTACTATGTAGAAAAAGGGAAACCTTCTCTTTCTTTAACCTTTCCTACTGGTTAATATTTTGCTAGGGAGAGTAGTCTGAGAAAACACAGAGGTTTTTTTTTAACTGCAATTTTATACAAAACAAGTTTAATGTACTATCCACAAATCAGTTTCGATTTATTCTAAGCATCTGTAGAATGAGATGAATGTCTTCCACCTCAGTACCACAAGTTTAAATAAGTCATAAATCACTTTTTGTTGGGGTTTGGATACACAATAGGTCAAACTGTCTTAATGTTTGTGTCAGTCTGTCATGAAAGCACTTACAAAAATCTGAACCTTTATACCTCCTCCCCCCATCCAAAAATCTATATTTACTCAATAACCTTTTTTTTCTTTTATTTGTTGCTTGCCCTTGTGAGACAAAACATACGCAACATCTATTTTTAGCTTTGCCTTTGACAGATCATACTTTAAATCTGAAACATTTAAATGAAGTTATGATGTCCATAGAAAGTCTTAAATACAACAGTGAATCTAATGGACTTTTGAAACAAAACAGTGAAAAAATAATTTGAACTTTTCTGGTATCTGGCAGTGTAAAGTCATTTTGATGGCTTTGTCCATTAAAATACAAATTGACTCTTTCCAGAATTTTGTTGCCTTATAATTTTTAGGAGATTTGCTGAGTTAAGTAGCTATGCAATAAAAATAAATGTCTGAGGTTGTATTGCAAATTTTGTTGTAAAACTGCTCTAACTGTATACAAACTTTACTTTCAAAATAGCCCTGATTAACTGTTGGAGTTTGTGAGTTAATATTTTTTTTTACAAATTATTTTCTTTCACACATTGTTAGTGTAATTAACGTAAATATTAACTGCTTTGTTGCAGGGTTGCAGCATATACCCTAAGCCACAAAAGCTTTTTAACCTCAACCACATTTCTATTAGATGAATTGTGAACTTGGCCCTTCGGGCAGGTTTTCAGGATCGGGTGGTCACCAGATAGCACAGTAACTTCTGTCAATGTATCTGGTTTGAGTTTTTAAAAGTCATAATTGTTATGGTAAGAAAAAAATATCTGCATTTTATTTTATAAACAGGGTACTGTAGACCAGCTCCCAGCACACTTTAGGAATTCTGGTTGGGAAATTTCTGCCAGCCTACCACACAGAGAGACAGAAAGAGGAAACCAAGTTGTTGATAGGTAATAATTTTCCTCTTATTTTTTTCTAGAAAAAAGCTATGGTCGAGTATCCCATAACTGTGGATGTCCTAAACAACTAGAAAATTAGCCTTGAGGTATCTGCGCCTCAGGAGTTGGTGATTTTTATGTGTTTTCTTTTTTCTTTCTTGCTCTGATTGGTATTAGTAACAAGTAATGTGGATAAAAGGACTAACTGTCCCTCTTGCCACTGAAACATGAATAATGGATCAGACCTTATCAATAGATCTTCTCAATCATTGTGTAAAGAGAATGAAATTCATGAGATCCTCCTAAACCTTCTCTTCTCTAGGCTAAACAGTCCCACTTCTGTCAGCCTTTCCTTATAGGAGGTATGCTCTCTTAATCATCCTTGTGGCCCTTCATTGGACAGTGTCTCTCTTGTACTGGAGAGCCCAGAACTGGATACAACACACTGAGCAGAGGGGAAGGACCACTTTCTTTGTCCTGCTGTCAATACCTTGTATAATGCAGCTCCCTTCTTCAGGTCCAAACCTTGGTTGGCCTCTGGGAATTCACCCAGGCTGTTCTTCCCACTCAGTTTTAAGAGGAGAAAAAATTATTTCCTTCTGGAAGCGGTGTTGTCCAGCCATGTTTTGTGTAATGCCTCCAGTGAGCTGATGATATCAGGAACACATATGGCACATGGGGAATCAACCTCAATCTGACCAGGGCTCGACAGCAGCAGGAGACATGAGTGAGGCAGAAAAGAGCCCCAGTGCTAAACACCTTCAGGCACCCCAGTTCTTTGTGGAGACACCTTCATTAGACCAGCAGCAGCTGAACAATGAACAATGATCAGTTTCTTAATGGGACTTTTTTAAAGCAAAATGCTTGATACAGTGGTTAAGCCAATTAAGTCTGATCCTTGATAATATAGAAGCAGATTTTCTGGCATTAATCCAGTCTTATTGTTTTCCAACAAATTAAAATAAGTAGAATTTGATATTAATATATTCATAATTTAAGAACAACCAAATAAAGATTGTGAATATTATTTTAATATTTAATAAAGAAGTGGTAGAATACATTATTTTTTTTTTTACTTTCTCTGTCAAAATAGAATATATGACATTTTTCCACATTAAATCTGATACCACAGTCTGTTTTAAAGTTGTACTTCTGTTTCTTGCTGAAGTGATGACAGGCTGTCATGCACATAGAGCTTAGCCAGGATACAGTCTATCTTCAGTATGAAGACTTCTCCAACATACAGTCTTAGAACTAAAAACTATGAAAATAAATTACACAGGTAACACAGGTATAAAAAAGAACAGATTAGGTTTTATTGAATAAATTAAATTAAATTATTTGCTTGTATCTGTCATAGAATCATAGAATAGTTCTGTCATTTACTAATATATAAGATAAAGTAAATAGTAGCAAAATCACTTACTCTGTCATTTCATTACATGTCATTATAAAATGTCCTGTATTAGGTTTTGAATGACTAATGTTTTGTAACACCTTAATTACTTTTCAGATAACATGGTATATTTCAGTTCAATAAAAACAATCATATTCATCCCATGCAAGGTCACAAAAGATATAAAAAAATTGATTTCAGGATAACTCAGACACATTTTATTGAATCTAGCCCTCAGTTATATATCTATCATTGCTAAGGCAATAGCAGGATCATGGTGTTGCCTTTGTAAGATACATGCATAAAAAGAGCCCTTAACAGTGACGGATTCTTCTCAGAGGTACAGCTAATATTGATCTGCTCCTGGTGGCACCCCAAATGCACTAGATACTTTCCAAAAAAAAGAAAGGCATAACTTCTGTTGCTGGACAGCTTATTACTGAAGTTCACTGACCCAGGCAGGGTTAGGTGAAGGAGGGGGAAGGAAAGAAACTCTACCTGAGAAACAGTTGAGTGGACCTTGTGTCTTAGGTTGATCCAGCTGGCTCCCAGGAAGAAAAAGTATATTCACATCTGACATAGGATACAGCACAGTAAGAAATAACCCCATCAAGGCACAAAGATGCTTGTGTGAGAGTCAAGGGCACACGTTAACATGTGGATGGTTATCAGCAGGCAGCAAATCTGGGAAACTTGTTGAAATCTCTAGTACAATCCCCATTCTTGGAAATATGCAAAACTTGATGGCATGTGATCTTGAGTGACATAATCTAATGTTGAAGTTGGATCTGACTTTGAGTCCTGCAAGAGTTAGATCAGATGAGTTGCATCTTAAATGGTTGTGTGATTCTGTGAGAAAGGTAAGATAGCTTTATTTATTCAGCCAAATCTCAAACAAGATCACTAGGCACCCATTCTGTGCTCTGGACACCTCCATCACATATTGAAAACCATGATGCCCACAGCAGCAGAGATGGGCTCACTCAGCTCACTCTCTTGCATGGCAGTGTTAACACAGGATGCAAACATGACAGGAGCAATATCGCTTGTGGGGTTTGCTAGTGTGTAAGGGGTGGTACATGAGAGGAGGGGGGAGCAGCTGAGAAGATGGGGACTCTTTAGAGGGATCACCCTAGAGGCAGCTTTCCTTTTGTTTTGTATAGACAAAGCAACATGCTGAACGGTTCTGCTGATCTCTGCTAAGACAACCCAGCAGCTGGGTCAGGGACTAGATCAGGAACTGGGTAGGACTTCAGAGCTTTAAGCTAACGCCCTGCATTCCACCAAAAAGCTTATCAGAGACTCCAGCCAGTGTCAGCACACAGGTCTCTATGTGCTGCTGGGATGCAGCTCCACTTTATAAGCACCCACAGCCTTTTGTAACAGCACAAGCTTGCAGATCGTTGCAAGGTGCAGCACATATCAGCAACCTAAGCTTCAGTGTGATAAAAGAAAGATAACTGAGACCACATGGGCAAGGAAAGGGGAATGACCTCAGCAGGGGATGATGGAAAAATCTTGCACCTGCTGGATCCTGACCTGTCTGCACTGAGAGTCAGCCTGGCTCTGAGTTTTGGTGGGCAAAGCTGTTGTCCTGCTGCCTCTGCTCAGCCTGCCGGCCCTACATCTAGACAGCAGCCTGAGGCAGAGGTACCTGTCATACTCGCACAGGTTGCAGCTGCCTTTAAATGAGCAAGTTGTCACACCAGCAGTGGTGTGGAGGGTGGCTCTAAAGCAGAGGAAACTGAGGCAGGCTACTGATAACACTGATGGAAAAAAAATTAATGGCTGAACCTGGTCTGTTGCCAGGCAAACCCCAGCATATGTACAGATACACATAATAAAATAATTGAAAAAAATAACAAAAAGAGAGGAATTACAGCAGAAATACTTAAATTGTTTTTATTTCCAGTACAATAAACAAATATATTCATTTTGCAAAACATGTTGGACTTCACAGTAATTGATACATCCAGAAAACCTGCCCATTACTGATCCTGTAAGATACAGACTGAGTTCATCTTTGAATGAGTGCCCAACCCCATGCATGAATTTGAAGTATAACGGAAAAAAAAGATGAATCATTTGTTTTCAAACCAGTTTCCTCACTGGGAAAATATTCCTGTAGGTCACACAGTACTTATTTACTCAGTAAATACTATGACAGTGAGATTTACAACCACGACATCAATAACACTGATTGACAAAGAACTTCCCCAAAGCTCTTTCATCTTCAGACAAACATGATACATGCACAAAAGGATGCAGTTAGACATTTACAGCTGAGCACGTCTGTTTGGAGCAGGGGTAGGTAGGGAAAGGGGGAGGAGTGCATGAAAAACAACACTTGATCTCTTTTTCCCCGTATGATCAGTGTTTGGAGCTCACTCATACTTGTTTTGAATAATCACTTACTTGTTTCACTGGTTGCTGAGGGCTCTTTTGATCTTTTAGAGAATGAACTGAAAAGGGATTCCTCTTTTAGAAAACTTGGGCAATTGTTTCCACTCAAATCTTCACATGCTCAGTTCATTATTTTGTCTGTACTGAATGAGCTAGGTGATAGTTCTCACTGGATCTGGTTAAGGACCATCTTGATAATTTTCCCTGTTGTCTGAATTCACCCACGCCACATCCACCCTGCAGGAATAACAAGGGGAAAAAGGAGAGCTTGGTGGAGATAAATGCAGCTGCTTAGATGCTCCTTTTTATGGAAGCTATTCTGTATTCCATGAGTATCTTTTGTTTGTGTCTCGTAATGGCCCTAGGATTTTATATTTATTGGTACCAATTACACTTGATCTTCTTTTCAATAAAACAATTTTACATTGTAAAATGACCTTGTGCCCAAGGAGAAAGTTTTGTGGGTCCCAATTACCTTGGAGAAATTTTTCTCATGGAAAAGAAGGCCTAACAATGCCATTTCTTCTTTCTTTTAAAATACTGGCTTTTTATTATTTTGGGTGCATAATTTAGATTTAATTTTTAATTTTGTATCATATTCAGGTATCTTTTACATTATATTTCATGTCATACAATTCTGATGTCACCAAAATATCAACTGAACATTCAAAAGCACATCTTACTTAGACTCTAGAGAAACAGGGAATGTCAGTTATGTTTTCTGGCCATCTTTAATACTAGACTTTTTGCCATTATCTGCAGCTGCTGAATCTACTGGTCTCTTTTACTCTGAAGGTTTATGCTGAATCTTTGAGCATTTCCTAAATAGCCCAGTTCTGGCAGATTAATATTACAAAAAAAACACATTTCCTCTAAAGGCTGGATTTTCTATGCAGTCAGTGCAGAGAAGGAGCTACTCACACCTGCACAGGGAGATTCTGTGTGCCTTTCTTTCGTGCCTAGCCTGAAGAAATGCAAGATTTGTGGAGAGGGGTTATATCTTTTATGGGACTAACTCCATGTAATGAGGATTTCAGAAGATGCAGCAGATTTCTTGACCACCTATATAGAGAATTTGGGGTTTATCCTTAGAGGAGAATTGCCTCATTAGGCATGGACAGTTTAAGTGCAAACTGAATTAAGCAGCCAAGTCCCGGCCGGTAGACACAAAAAAATCCTTGGAAACCTCTGAACGTGCACAGGAACTAAGGAGAAAGGCATAAATGGCTTTACAAGTAAACACCGGGTTGTGCCAGCTTCATGATTTCCAGGGTCTGGCTCCTGCTGTTCGAACGTGTGGATTTGACAATGATACAAAAATTGCTCAGCCAAGCGTTTGCATCTTGCTGCCTGTCTGGCATTCCTTCAGCTTTGCTTCTAGTAAAGCCTGTTCCCCATCACTAAAAAAGCTCTCGAGAAAGAGGGGCTTTTTAACACACTGCAGAGCTTGTGCCACCATCCAAAAAGGCAAAGATGTCTACTGCAGCTCTGGCAAGCAGATGGGGTGTGCTGACAGACATCTCAGACAGAGCATTTACAGTGCTCTGGGGGCTGCAGTTTATTCCCAGCTCTTGTTTTGCAGTGATAGTAGCTGGGAGATGAGCTGCTCTGGGGTTGCAGCATCTGACCTCACTGTCAGTATTGCAGGCCATGGATGTGGGTCCTCTCCTGAGTCACAGAGGGAGAAGGAGTGAAGCCAACTGCATGCGTCTGGCTGCTATGGAAAGCAGGAGGCTGAAGCAGGGAACACAGGCAACCAGGGAGTGGCTACACAAGAAGAAAGTCATTGTAATGCAGTGGTGGAGACATCCTTAGTTGGGGTAAGGGAGTTTGTGCCCCCTCCCATAGATGCAAGATTCAGTCAATGGCACCCTTAGCTATGTAGTGCACTTGCCTCTAGGAACAATTACCAAATTGCATCCATGTTTGAGGCCCTGAAAGTGTCCAATGTGATGCAAGTGTACAGAAACAAGCAACACCAGCCCCAAAGAACCATGGAATAAGTAGTTAGACTACAGCAGGGCAGGGTGGAAAAGAGAGGTCAGAAGGGAAGTAAGAAATGTTCAGTGATGCATCTAGAGGCAGAGTAGAGATGGGGTGTGGGGCCCAGATCTTCCAATTGTGTTTAGTGATAACGTTCTGTGAAAAATAAAATCAAAGAATTAAGCCAGACTGCACTGTATCTGCCTCCTTCTGTCTTCTTTCCCTTTCAGATATATTTGCTGTACACATATAAGGGCACTGAGAATACTAACAACACTGCAGAGGTGACGCCGAGTTAATGACTGTATCAGTACTGATGCATGTAAGAAAACCAGATGTAAGTCACCAGTGTAACAGCACAGACATACAGAGACATCCACACCTATTTGTGTTAGGGCTTGTACACGTGAAGAGCTGCAGACTCATCAGACTTGGGTGATGACCGGTGTGCAGGGGGAAAGCTGGTGCAGCCCAGATTT